AAGTTGCATGTTTTTTGTTGCCCGTTTTCCCTACCTTAAGTTTTGATCAGCGCGTTACGCTCATATTTCATTTTTCTTAACTTAATTTCATTCACATTCCTCGCACACTTGACTCCAGAAATTATTCTAACTTCTCAGTTTCTTGCAAAGAACATTTTGTTGAGCGAAAACAAATAAAGAAGACAACAGCCGCCTACTCCAAACTTCGAATGTTTGGCGGCAAAGCGAGATAAATTTGCACCCAATTAGGACATGATTTTCCGTCAGGTGTACACGGCTTATATCAGATGCAACGCATAACAGTAGGCATTATAGGGAGTACCATAATTGAGTTGTTGCGTTGCTCTAGATTGTTGAGCACTGTTTATTAGGTGATAAAACTTTCAACTCGCCCCATGTAGAGTAATCCAACTCAGCCTGATCATTGTACGTTTCTGGGAGACTGCCCACCTACCTCTCCCTGAAGCCAACATTGACACTTAGTTCTCACATAGGGAACAATGTTGGCTTAGGGGAGGGGTAGGTGAGCAGCATGATCATTATACGTTTCTGGGAGACTGCCCACCTACTCCTCCCAGAAGTCAATATTAACAGTTACTCCTCACATAGGGCAAAATGGTGACTTTGGGGAGGGGTAGGTATAATAATCCACACTGCAGTCTTCCTCCCATTCCATTTTTGCCGAGCATCAGAAAATATGGGATGTGATTTAAGATGATGAAATTTTTCTACTTAGTCTGTTCAGTTGATTTAGATATATTTTGTAGCTGGTTGTTCTCCCTTCACTTCAAAATTCATAGTTTTATTTTTATGATAAACACTTTTGGATTCTGAATTCCACTTTTTGGATTCCGGATTTCATGAATTGGATAATCTGGAGTCCTTGTCAGTGGAACTGCTGGATCCCGGATTTCGGATTTCTAGGTTTGGATTTTGGATTGCGAAGCCCAGGATTTCGAGATGCTTCAAGCAAACATTTTTTGGATTCCTCTGGCCTGGAATCCGGATTGTCTTACATTGGGGATTCAATGCAATGTTCGCTAATTGCATTTATATGTTTACATTTTCAGTCAAAAAATGTCCTTCCTGTTCATCGAAGACTTCTCTGGAGGATTGCGATGATAAAATCAAACCGAAAACTTGCCGTAATCTCTTTACCGACAGATTTGCTTGCGCTGTAATCCAGAAAAACCTAGATTCCTACTCTCGCACTTGCATGAGCGACTTTGCCTTTACTCATGTCAGGGCTGAGAAATTTGGAATCTGCATGGAAGATCAATGCTTGGCCAATTTCACCTTCACAGCAGGTAAATTGATCCTTGTCGTAGCCTTTAGTCTCTTGTCTAACGGGATATGTTTTGCTCACACACACAGCGAGACATGTTGCATGGCTGCTTGCTGGACGATTTCATTCAAATCTGTCATTGAATTTTGCCGACCCTAAGTTTCGTTGTTGCCTTTTACAAAGATACACAGAAAAGCTCTGCACATAAGGCATAAGGTTCAAAATCACAATCGCTCTCTAATTTTTTTTCTTAAGAAAAAAAATGCATAATTTGAATGTCAATGTATTTTAGCACAAAAGTGCTAATTGCGGACACTACTTTCGGACCGTAATTTTACGTGATTACAAGAGCAACGCGAAGGTCTAGGCGCTTGCAGTGCAAAGGGAGTACTTCCATTTCTCAGTTATATTAAGACCCTGGGTAGTCGGGTCTGGCTCAGGGGTCGAACCCACGACCTCCCGCTCTGCAGTCAAGCGCTCTATCGACTGAGCTAATTAACCCTGTCTTTCCTTGTAGCTAACATTCAATATATTTTCAGTTGGTGTTAACAGATGTCCTAAATGTAAAGCAAAGACTCTAGAAGAATGTGACCGGATGAGTGAAATGGAAGATTGCCCAGGGCGCAAACCATTCTCTAACGTTTGCACTTTAGAGAAAGATAAAGGCGAAAATGGCAAATACTATCGAAAATGTATGACTCGTTTTGCATACGAAAAGTCCAAAGGCTGGTCTTCGCTCGAAAAGATAGCATTCTGCGAGAAAAACGAGTGCTTCGCCTCATTTTGGTAATTGTTTTACTTCTCTTAGTATTATAGTTTGCTCCGTTAAAAAAATAAAACCGATAAATTATCAGCTTCCACCCCCCCTCCTGGGTTTTCCGACTTTCAATTTAAGAATTAAGAATGATTAGCATCAAATTTCTCCTTGAAATATCAATGCTTTGTAAAACAGAGTGGTCATGAGAATTACAGACATAATCACACAAGATGAATTTGCTTGATATTTTATCAACTTCTCCCCACTACTTCTGTAGGAAATGAATAGGGGCAACAAATGAGAATTCAAATTTTGATCTTAGGGTGTAAAGGGTTAATGTCACAGTAGAAAAGGTTTACCTAAAAGTACGTGGAAGCTAAGCCACAGAAAGACATTCAGCTCACTGAAACAAAGAAGAAACCCTATCGGCCGGAGGAAACTATTAGGCAGCTTAAGCAACTGCTACTACTACGACGACGACAACTTCAAAACACAATAGGTTTAATGATCAAAACAACAGCTCTGCACGTGCATCACGCTTTTTAGTACATTTCTTTGACGTCCACTGCACGACTACGACGTAAAACCTCCTAATTTGACGTTTTATTGAGGAATGGACATACGACGACGAAGTCTCCTTCCGCTTTTTGAACTTGAAAAAAATCCTTAAGAATTCAACTCCAGGAAAAGTCGCCTGCATTTGACATATTGAACGGGTCCAAATAGACGCGATTAAGTTTTAAAGAAAGCAAATTCACTTTCCTAGCGACGTTTTCACTCCCGTCGTCGTCGTCTTTGCTTAAGGTCCCTATTCTACAACGACAAAGCCCTTAAGATAATCGATCCCAGGGGTCGTACTTAACAATGCCTGTATACAGGGAGGCCCCGACCTGAGGTCCAACCCCCTATCCATTTATATTCAATATTTGATTGAAAAGGTACCCCTTGTATTAATACCTTCTTTTGATAAATGGTACCACTTTAATTCACACACCTACTTTAGAACATTGCATCTCTTTTACTGAAGTGTTGTAGTAGCACCCTCAATCAAATCAATCAATCAATAAACTTTATTTACCCTCGAATTTACAGTGTAGCACTCAAGTGCTAATATCTTCGAGCCAACTACATTAATAAATAATTATAATAAAAAGTTAATTCTATATAGCAAAAAAGATAACTAACTACCTAGACANTAAATGGTACCACTTTAATTCACACACCTACTTTAGAACATTGCATCTCTTTTACTGAAGTGTTGTAGTAGCACCCTCATTAAATATGAATAAATGAATAAGCCAGAAATTTTTTCTTGTCCTTTTCACAGCCATGAGATCATCTGTAATCGCCCTTTTTGGACCTTTTACAGACCCAAATGACAGATTTTCCTACCCTTTCATGTACTTCAACTGCGAAATCACGTGCACTATCCCTTGATATTCCTGTAATATACCCGTATAGGCTATTATATATTGCCCCACCCCGCATTTGTTTAAATTTCATATTCATTACGTATTCTTATATGAATTTTCATTTTTCTGGCGACCAGTATTTTAGCGGGAGTTTAAAATCAAAGCCTTGCCATTTTAAGTCGTTTTTCGGGTATAAAGGTCCTAATTACACGTGATATATACAATTCGTTAGCAGGCTGAATTGGTTTGGACAAATTGACGCCGCTGAATATTAATAAATATTTGACGGAAGTAATAGACTGAGCCTTGTCAGTGGAGGCAATTAATTACTTTCAACAAAAGTTCTTCTCATGATCAGTACTGCAAAACCATTGCCTTGTAGATTCCTTTAACCCAACCCCTTCATTACGTCAAAAAGGACAGTTATCTAGGTTATAGCAAACTTACTATGCACATACTTTTTTTTTATTACAGATTACACGAAGACCGTCTCTTTAAAAAGATGGAGCCATAAAGAGCTGTCTGAGTGTGACAGCATTTGACTGTATGTGTTGGTGTGTCAAAACTTTGCCTTTTTTCAAGTCAAAAAATAAAGTCTGAAATCTGATAAGAAGTGGTTATATTTTACTGTGTTGAAAGATTAGGGAATTGATACTTTTTTACGACTCTTTAAAGCTCATTCTCTCTTGGTGCAAACCAATCCAAATATTTAAACAACTCGAAATATTGCGTAACGGGGCGATTTATAGGGTTCATAGAGAGAATGAGCCAGCTCTTTCTCTCTTGGTTCATATAAGAACAATCTTAGTGTGGGGAAATGAAATACAATACACTTATTATTTATTTGTACATGTTCTCTGTGATTTTGAAGTGTACCACGTCTCAACCTTCACTCTTTAAAATGTAGGTTAAAACATTAAAAAAGAGGATTAAGGTGGCTCGATGCGGGTTTTCAGGGTCAATACCTTCCAAGTTTGAGCATAAACTACGTCTCCAATAAAAAAGACGGGCAAATTACCACCACAGAAATCTTTCTAAAAGTCCTTTATTATTATTATTATTATTATTATTATTATTATTATTAATTTTTTTTTTTTAATTTTTTTTTTTGGTTGTTTGAAGAGAGGTCGACTTGTGGCAAGTCTACAACCACAGCTGTATTAGGTTAAGATGAAAATCAGTTGTTATGATCAGGGTTACAACGACATCGGAGTTGTCATAGCAAAGAAATGACGCCATTACGGTAGAACCTCGATATAAGTAAACGAACCTCTGTATATTAAACGAAGTCCTCGGTATGACGAACGATTTTTGTACCCCAGTAATAGGAAAATATATGGAAAAGTATCTCCACATAACGAAACCTCGTTTTAGCGAACAAATTTTGCCAGTCCCTTGGCACTCCGTTATATCGAGGTTCCACTGTACCTGTTTTACTTACAGCCGTGTTCAGTCTCGGCACTGGGAACACCTTCTTTCAAAATCGTTCACTGGAGCTTTTTCCTACAATAGCCACTTCGATGTTTGTGATGTTTAGGCGAAAGCTGTAAGCGTTATCGAGATATTTTGGGAATGAAGTTTTTATGGTTAGAATTACGGTGAAAACCGGACAATCTTAATGTTCGGCAGTTATCTGTAGAAAACGAAGCGCTTTTGAAATGCAATTTTACGGATCGATGGTTATCGATGCGCTCTTGTTAGTTTAGTCTATTTTTAACAAATATAAATTAGCGTATAATTTTGCAACCCCTCAATGGATCCTCAGTGCCGAAATCTTTGTTAATGGCGACGTAGTTTATGCTTTTAGTTTTGAAAAAAGACCAGGGCCCCGTTTCTCGAAATTCCCGGTAACGTTTCGGGCCTGAAATCAAATCTTCAAATCGAAATCTAAAGAATAAGAGCGCGGGTCTTGGCTAACAAACTGGTCCATTTTGTTCCATTAACTGATAGTTTTATCATGTTAGATGCAAAACTATTGAAACCGCCATCTTGTACGAAAACAACAACATGCACCTTTACGGGCCCGTTAATTATCTCCACTTTCGAGAAACGGGCCCCAGTTCCTCATCCTGAAAATAATTTTCGCTTTTTTTTTGTCATAAAACTTGTGAAGAATTCATCAACATGGTTTCGAAAGAATTCTAAAAAAGAAACTTTGAGAACAGTGTCTGAGTGTCGGTATATTTATCAAATTTTAACAGGAATGAATGCATCAGCGAGCTTATACAGTCACCCTGAGAACGCTAGTTCCTATTTTAAAGTTATCTGCTATTTGTGTTTTACTTTATCTATTTCCATAAGTGTTTCCAGTGACACGCCAAATTTAAAGCTAGTTCAATGGGGAGCATTAACTAACTTGCAAATTATCATGATGTAGAAAGGTTTGCAGTTCCTGCCCTTTTAAGTAAATTATTGTTCCCAGTAGATATCAGTCGTCGAAAAGAAGTAAAGAAGTAAAACCCTCATTAAATATGAATAAATGAATAAGCCAGAAATGTTTTCTTGTCCTTTTCACAGCCATGAGATCATCTGTAATCGTTTTTTGTCCTTTTACAGACTCAAATGACAGATTTCCCTACCCTTTCATGTACTTTAACTGCGAAATCACTACCCTTGATATTCCTTTAATATACCCGTATAGGCCATTATATATTGCCCCACCCCTCATTTGTTTAAATTTCATATTCAATACGTATTCTTATATGAATTTTCATTCCTCTGGCGACCAGTATTTTAGCGGGAGTTTAAAATCAAAGCCTTGCCATTTTAAGTCGTTTTTCGGGTATAAAGGTCCTAATTACATGTGATATATACAATTCGTTAGCAGGTTGAATTGGTTTGGACAAATTGACTCCGCTGAATATTAATAAATATTTGACGGAAGTAATAGACTGAGCCTTGTCAGTGGAGGCAATTAATTACTTTCAACAAAAGTTCTTGTCATGATCAGTACTGCAAAACCATTGCCTTGTAGATTCCTTTAACCCAACCCCTTCATTACATCAAAAAGGACAGTTATCTAGATTATAGCAAACTTACTATGCACATACTTTTTTTTTATTACAGATTACACGAAGACCGTCTCTTTAAAAAGATGGAGCCATAAAGAGCTGTCTGAGTGTGACAGCATTTGACTGTATGTGATTGTGTGACAAAACTTTGCCTTTTTTCAAGTCAAAAAATAAAGTCTGAAATCTGGTGAGAAATGGTTATATTTTACTGTGTTGAACGATTAGGGAATTGATACTTTTTTACGACTCTTTAAAGCTCATTCTCTCTTGGTGTAGCCTCCCACGCAGGTGTTTGTAGGGGAGCTCGTTTTTCATCCCTCCCTTTGTGGGGAGGGATGAAACACGAGCTCCCCTAAAAACGCCTGCATGGGAGGCTACTCTTGGTGCAAACCAATCCAAATACAACTAGAAATATTGCGTAACGGCGCGATTTATAGGATTCATAGAGAGAATGAGCCAGCTCTTTGTCTCTTGGTTCATAAAAGAACAATCTTAGTGTGGCGAAATGAAATACAATACACTTATTACTTATTATTAAATCACAGAGCAGTGCTCTGTGATTTTGAAGTGTTCCACGTCTCAGCCTTCACTCTTTGAAGTGAAGGTTAAAACATTAAAAAAGAGGATTAAGGTGGCTCGATGGGGTTTTTCAGGGTCAATACCTCCCGGGTTTGAGCATAAACTACGTCTCCAATAAAAAAGACGGGAAAATTACCACCACAGAAGACTTTCTAAAAGTCCTTTATTATTATTATTTTTTTGGTTGGTTGACGAGAGGTCGACTTGTGGCAAGTCTACAACCACAGCTGTATTAGGTAAAGATGAAAATTTGTTATGATCAGGGTTACAACGACATCGGAGTTGTCACAGCAAAGTTATGACGCCATTACTGTGGAACCTCCATATAAGTAAACGAATCTCTGTATGTTAAACGAAGTCCTTGGTATAACGAACAATTTTTTGTACCCCAGTAATAGGAAAATATATGGAAAAGTATCTCGACATAACGAAACCTCGTTTTAGCGAACAAATTTTGCCAGTCCCTTGGCACTCCGTTATATCGAGGTTCCACTGTACCTGTTTTACTTACAGCCGTATTCTCGGTACTGGGAACACCTTCTTTCAAATTCGTTCACGGGAGCTTTTCCTACAATAGCCACTTCGATGTTTGTGATGTTTAGGCGAAAGCTGTAAGCGTTATCGAGATATTTTGGGAGTGAAGTTTTTATGGTTAGAATTACGGTGAAAACCGGACAATCTTAAAGTTCGTTTAGTCTATTTTTAACAAATATAAATAAGCGTATAATTTTGCAACCTCTCAATAGATCCTCAGTGCCGAAATCTTCGTTAATGGCGACGCAGTTTATGCTTTTAGTTTTCCAAAACGACCAGGGCCCCGTTTCTCGAAAGTCCCGGTAACGATTCGGGCCTGAAATCAATTCTTCAATCGAAATATAAAGAATAAGAGCGCGGGTCTTGGCTAACAAACTGCTCCATTTTGTTTCATTAACTGATAGTTTTATCATGTTAGATGCAAAACTATTGAAACCGCCATCTTGTACGAAAACAACAACACCTTTACGGGCCCGTTAATTATCGGCACTTTCGAGAAACGGGCCCCATCCTGAAAATAATTTTCTCTTTTTTTTTTGTCATAAAAAGAAGAATTCATCAACATGGATTCGAGAGAATTCTAAAAAAGAAACTTTGAGAACAGTGTCTGAGTGTCGGTATATTTATCAAATTTTAACAGGAATGAATGCATCAGCTTATACAGTCACCCTGAGAACGCTAGTTCCTATTTTAAAGTTATCTGCTATTTGTGTTTTACTTTATCTATTTCCATAAGTGTTTCCAGTGACACGCCAAATTTAAAGCTAGTTCAATGGGGAGCATTTAAAGACAACACTCCCAAGGTTTTGTGTAAACTGCTTTCTGCAAACACAAAATGCACGCGGTCACAGCCGGACCGGCTGACTATGTCCTTTCCATGACTCTCCGAGATCATGTTTTACCTTACTATTTTTTAGGTCAATGACATTGAAGGGAGGTAAGTTTTAAACTGAGGAAAAGGTATTTGAGATTTTTCTGTTTTCCTAANGAATTCTAAAAAAGAAACTTTGAGAACAGTGTCTGAGTGTCGGTATATTTATCAAATTTTAACAGGAATGAATGCATCAGCTTATACAGTCACCCTGAGAACGCTAGTTCCTATTTTAAAGTTATCTGCTATTTGTGTTTTACTTTATCTATTTCCATAAGTGTTTCCAGTGACACGCCAAATTTAAAGCTAGTTCAATGGGGAGCATTTAAAGACAACACTCCCAAGGTTTTGTGTAAACTGCTTTCTGCAAACACAAAATGCACGCGGTCACAGCCGGACCGGCTGACTATGTCCTTTCCATGACTCTCCGAGATCATGTTTTACCTTACTATTTTTTAGGTCAATGACATTGAAGGGAGGTAAGTTTTAAACTGAGGAAAAGGTATTTGAGATTTTTCTGTTTTCCTAAGTTGGTTGTCAAGGAAAAGGAAGAGCGTTCGAGAATGTGGCTTGAATTTGCATGGTGATTAAAACGTTAAAAAGTCTCTCTATCATTTCTTAGTTATCAAAAATGCTTTTGATAATACACATTTTGCGCCAATTTTCAAGCCTATATTTATTAGTCTTGTTTTTATTCTGAGTACTAGTTTACTACAAAGCAAAGTGAAAATAAAACAGCAATTATAATAACAAGAGCAAAAACCCAGGAATCTTTAGTGATTATCTAATAATACAAGTAAGCAATAACCCTTTTAACCCAATAACCTTGTCTATGTTCTTAGTTATCAAAAATGCCTTTGATAATAGACCTTTTTAGCCAATTTTCGAGCCTATGTTATCAAACTTGTTTTTATTCTGAGTACTAGTTTACTACAAAGCAAAATGAGATATAAAACAGCAATAATTACAAGAGCAAAAAACCCAGGAATCTTTGGTAATTATATAAGATAACAAATAAGCAATAACCCTTTTTAAAGAAATTATTTCGTTGTTGTTATGTTTATTGTATTTGTCGTCCAAGGTTCAACAATAAGATCCCTTGGTGTAAACTCTATATAGAAGGAGTTAGCTATAAATCTAATTTCATTTTTTAGCAAAGAATGAGCACTTTGACATTGTCGAACAGTGCTTTGCTGTGAGTTCTTGAGTAAGGCGTTGCCGACTGAGTTCTGATATCCCACACTTCTTTTAGCATTGTTAAAAACGCAGAGTAGATAATCATTCTATACTACTTACTTCGGTGATCACTTAATAATTATTTACTGAATGAAAATGTCACTTAAGGCAAGTGGCTATTTCTTAATCTACTAGAGCGTATTTGTGCGCCAAACCTGAAACATACATCTGGCTATAACCTGAGATCAGGCTCAATTTTCGTTTCGCTTTGTAAATAACATTTTATGAGAACCGCTAAAATTGGGCCTGATCTCAGCTTAATCTGGCTATGGTGCGTCTTTCTCGCGCGCTTTAGTTGACTTGTAAATACCACGCACAGATTTAATCTAAGCATGGTATTTGTCTGCGGTCGACTTTAACTAAACATTTTCATGTCAGTACAAAATATATAAGTTAATGAGCGTGTCGACTCAAATGTAGCAATCTGTACCAAGAGTCCTGTTGCCTGTATTTACAAGTGGACTGTTTCTTCTCGTCCAGTAAGGTTTTGGTCAGCAAAAGGAACTTCATTTCTGATAGATTCACCAAAGTCAATTAAGTTTTTGAAGTATGATACCGCCTATATTAAAAGCATTGACTGGGCTTTAAATTTATAGGCCTTGTTACCAAGTGAAGTAAGACTCGTTTTGGAATGTCACTTTTTCTAATTCGCCTCTTTTAAGAAACGTTCCTTTTGACATTTTTCATTCTCTGCTGCTGTTTCTGACAGTAACGGCATATTCGAAGTGTTCGAAGGTGAGTAAAGTTTCGTTATCATGTGGCTGAAACCGCGAGCGGGCAAGACGACTGCAGCGACCCCTGTTTTCTGATTGGCTACCCGAGAGGGTAAGATGGACCATCTTGCCCGCTCATGATTTCCTGCATTCGGCTTTTAAGCTTGTTCGGTCAAGATGGTTGGGTATACCAGCCTGCTTGTTCTCTTTTTTGTTCCTAATATTAGGTCCTGTGTTCGAGTCGAAAATGAAGTTGGGATTACTAGCTCATGTATGCACTGTGATGTACTTATTCCATGTGCACGAAGGTAAAGCAGTAGTATCGTAGAGATACAAAAGAGCGAGAGAAGTTTCATTCTATTATTTAACCACTCTTTCATCACGTAGTAAGCCATAAACGCTTTAACTACGATATTAGAAAAATGCTTTCTCGTCCGATGAGAACCCAGTCTGAGCTTACAAACTATCAAATAATTCTTGTTGCCCCCTTGATAGCATCCTACCAGCCAAAATTAGCGCCCAAACTAGCGTTTACACAAGCAAAAACGCCTAAACGCTGCCCTCTCAGGGATCGAGGTTAAACCTTTAAGAGCAGTGTTGTGATCAACATCAATATTCTTCTAACAATATATTTCAATACATAATCAGTAAAAGAGAATTGATAAAACGATCCCCAAAGGGAAAATTCTTTGAACTTTTTATCAGTTGAAATTCTCTCACCTAATTAATTAAGAAAATATATGGAGATCGGTTTGGGGAATTTGTATGTGGATATTGCGAATTAAAGGACTGTAAGTTCTGAAACGATAACTTTATTTTGTTTGCCTACCAGCCTTTAACTGCCCCTCCTGCACTGGGATTGGAAAGAGTAGAGACGAGGCGAATAAGGCGTGTGACAAAAACAAAAGGACGGTTGCATGCGCACCTGATGAATCGGTGTGTGTGGCTGGAGAAAAACAGGTATCGCGTTCTTTGTTCCTTGTCCAACGGTTCTGTTCAAGCAGAAAGATGCTTGATGAAATGAAGAAGCAATGCCAAGATAAAAAGAAGTCTGCAGATTCACTGTGTAAAGTGGCGATGTGTGAAATAGCTGGTTGCACTGCAAGGCTTTCGTAACTTGGTGCGTATCACAATTGACTGTATTTTTGCATTATCACGAGACTTCATGATCAGTCTTTCAGGAGTAGAGTAAACTAAATAGGGGTGACGAATGGTCTTTGCGAGCATTCGCGAGCATGCCGAGCACTGCGATTTTTTTGCCAGCACGAGCAGAAATAAAAATTTTGCTTTGCGAGCTTTCGAGCAACGCAAAAATTTGGGGAGCACGAGCAAGCGAGCACTCGTTTAAATTTTGCGAGCAAATCGAGCAAAGGTAAAATTTTGCGAGCAGTTAAAAATTTTAATGGACCATTCATCAACCCTCTAAATGATGACTCAAGTTACACTTTCCGATGATACTCAGAATATTATGGCTCGTTGGTAGTATATTAGTAAGGATTAGTAAAGTACAGTAATTATTAGCTAGGGCTAGCCACAGTTTCACCACTCACGCCGTTTTAAGCTACAATGCAAACAGAGAACCAATGGCTTCTTCGCTGTTACAGCCAATTACTTTGATTCTTGACCCCGCGAAATGCCTATGCATTTTCGTAAGAAAACCCCGTCAATCAACCACCTTGTTAACGTGGCTATTTCTATCCTGAAATCCCAAGGAATGTATTCCCTTAATGAATTCACCTCGTTTATACGGTAACCTGCGAAATGCATCAAGATATATCGAAGAATCAAATTCGAAAACAAAAGATTTCATTTTTTTGATGTTAAAATGGCTATATTTGGTCATTTTCAAAACGGCTAAAACAATGGCGTCTTCACAGATACAAAATTCCGATGACTACCGAGGCAGCAAATTTGAAACTTCGCTGATTTTGAGTAATAAGCAATATTCCTCGGGGGGTCAGGGTAAGAGTTACATTTGCCTCTGAGAAAGACGTTTATATTCGCGGGCGGCGTGTAATCGACTGAAAACCGTGTACGGCAGCTGCATTTATTATGGACATACTGAAAATGAGCGGCAGTGAATAAAAAGCGAACAGTAACACAAGCAAGAAAACGTTTGGTGAGCACATACGCTATTTCCTACATAAGATGCGTAACTAAACGGAGTTTAACCAATATTTAATGAAACTGCGTTGTAAGTCATTTTCAGTTTGCTCATCGCTTTTATCTAAGCACAATTTGTTGTGAGCAGTTTCATTAAAGCAGATATTGTAGACGAGTAATAAAATCATTTATCTTCTTAAATTAATCCACTATAAAAGAAGAGATCACTGAAGGTCCAAAGATTTCTTAAACCGCGGTCTAAGTTAGACTCAGGTTGCTTAAATAACCGACCCAATGAGTTTTTTGTCGTTCTCGTTGCCGTCACCGTTTATAATTAGCGTTACACAATTTTATGTTTTTCCTTGAATAAACTATTATGAGTATATCAACAAGAGCTTCGCTTTTAGCCCTGGCTAAATCTATATATTAGATTATAGTGTTATTAATGTGATATCTTAAACGAGAAAAGAAAGCGACCATGGATGTACTCTACTGAAAAACCTGAAACCTAAAAAACCTAAACGTAGGGCTACCGGGCCATTAATACGACCAAATTCAGAAATTCCGTTCACAACTGTATTAAAGGGATTCTCGTTATTATTTTTTTTCAGAAATTCAAAATTTCTTATAAGTGCACCTTTTAAGATGTTTAATGACCATGTTCTCTGAAAAGCTTTGTCTCATAAAGTTTGGTTCGAGAACTGATGTTCTATATATTCTATTTCATTACTGAAAGAACGAACAACAGCGTACAACCTCGAGGTACCCTAAACCAGTACTACAACCTCCTATGGATTACAATCGTTCATATATGTTGCTCCTCAAGTATGGAATTCGCTGCCTGATGACATAAGAACTTCTGAAACTTTCATTGCTTTTAAGCGCGCCATTCGTAATATTACTTTGTGATGTAGATATATATTTTTTTAAGACGAGACTAATAATATGCGTATTCGTAGAAATTTTATACTTTCCTACTTTATCAATTTTGTTGCATTTCTTAAATCAGATTTTTACACTCGGAGATACTAGCTCTCTCTAGCTATTTTCGTTGATATGTTTGCTCCGAAATGGGTACGCGGGCCCCATAATTTAGCACGTTTTCCCTCCTGGGACCCTCGCATTACCCCTATGTATTGAGCGTGGTATTTAAATGTTTTGCCAACATCAGGATCACTTATCAGATCGCTTTTCTGTATGCGTTCATGTCCCGAGAGGGCATATATACTTGCGTTTTTTGCCCCCCCTCCTCCCCTCAGCGACGAAAACCCGGTTATGCTGCACTTCTTCGCATACGCGGAAATTATTTTCGCCCATATCTTAGTATTCCCCGCGTGTGCCATAGAAGTGCAGCATATCAATGAAAATTCTCCTACTATCCTAATAAAAACAGAATTAAGTCCCTAGCGTCTCCCTAGCTTTCTCTGTTTAATCACTGAGTTCAGTCACCTCCTTTCTCTTTCGTTATAGAATGAAGAAGTCTACGTTATGATGAATTCGCAAGCAAGCGACTGGAACACATTATGCACATTAAAAAAATTTGTATGCCCTTGTCATGTTTTGACTGAAAAAAAGTAATAAAGAAGATACTGACAGAGCTGTTGTTTGCTGTCCGGCAAAATTAATACAGTTCCGTATAGGCGGAACTCACAATACGGAATCTTCTGACGGGAAGTTCTCTCCCCGGCCCTTTACACTCCTAATTTTTCTCCTGAGCAAATTATGCCGGCCCAAATCACAAAATACAGCCCAAGTTAGTGGTTAACAAGTCGATATACTGGCCCTTAACGACCGTAGTGTCCAAACTGTACTCCATAAATGCAGTGCTGTGAAGTAAATAAGTTGCAGGAGTGCAGTTTGCGTAGTAGAAAAGGGTTATTACTTTTTCTAATTTCAGTGCAGCAAATATTGAAGTTATACTGGGTTCTGAACTTACTATCCGAGATAATGCCCCCCAATTCACTTTTTTTGACCGAGAAAACGGGGTAACATTAAAATTCGGTTTTCGGAATTTTAACTAAGTTACCTACGATTTTCGGAGGTTGTGCAGTGTTTTTCACATGTCATTGCCATGAAAGGTCTCCTGTAAATTTTGGTGTGAGCTAACATTCCCTAAAATCTTCTAATGAAAATACGGCCATTACATGTCCTCGAACTTTCGACCAGGCCTATCAGGGTAGCTGCTTGATATCAGTTTTGGATGGGATGAAAAGCTACTGAAAATTTTCGAGATGACCAAAGTTCCTCTAAGACATCCGAAGAGATTTTTAAAAGATTTGATTTTAAGTTCTCTCCCATGACATAGAAGAAACATAGAGGAAAAAATAAACTCTTTTATTGGTTGTCAAGAAATAAGAACAGTGTTAAAGAATTTGACTCAAATTCAGTTTGTATTCAAATTGACAAGTTTGAGGTTCTTATATTATTTAACAAAAATGTCTTTTGTTAATTGAACTTTTTACAAGGCTCCTAGCTTTGTCAAAGTCAATAGATTATTGGGCTAATTATTTATTTAGGATACTTGTTTTTATATGATACCAAAAGTGACATAAGACAAAAAAAGGTAAAAACAAAAGAAACGGCGAGAGCGGCCTCCAAATCTCCAGCAAAAAGTACAATAAGTAAGTAATAAGCTATTTACTCTTTCCCCAAATGAGTCGTTGTAGTTATCCCATTTCATTTTTGACTTGACTTTTGCCTGTCCCAGTTGTTTTAGAATAAAGGAGAAATTAAGTAATTATTTAAAAGCTCTATGAATTGTTCTTAATATTTCTTTTTAGCAAGAATGAACATTTTCTTAGTGTTTTGCTGGTCTTTAGGGCCATGCTAAGTTCTGTCTCAGCGTCTTTCGTCTTGTCCACAAAAGATCTTCTAAAGTACTAATGATTGTTATACGAGGCAAAACATTACAGATTCAATCAAAAACCTAATATTAATTGTGAATGAATAACTGTTCACTTAAACAGCGGGCTTGTTGTCAGGGTAAACAAGGAATATAACTTGGAATGCTGCATTCACTGAATTACAGTTTATTTTAATTCGCCTTTTTAGGAAAGATTTCTTTTAAGGTCTTATTCAGTCAACAGTGTAGGTCATTGACTACAGAAACAGGAAGGTATATACTCGTCCCCCTTAACTTATATGCGTCTAAGTCGACAAAAAAGTTTCTCTTTTCAGTTAAACAGATCATAATAACTCTAAAAAGGTTGAACCGTACGAACGCACGTTCTGGCCTAAAATCTTCCTATCTCTAGTATAGCAGATTTAATTAAGACCTTAGGGTAAGCAAGCAATATCACCACGCGTAAAGTGTACTGAAGTCATGGATGCGTGGAAACAATCCTAATGGCGGGAATGTCCTTAATACACACACACACAGATACACAGAAAAGATCATCTAATTTTTAATTTTATGTTTGGTTTGATTGTTTGTTTGTTTGTTTTTTAAATATACAGTCGAACCTCGCTATTTCGAACTCGGTTAATTCGAAGTGCCTGCTATTTCGAAGGAAGGTCGAATGCCCTTGGATTTACCCTTCCCCTTTATACGCTTCCCCGGTTCAGTTTCGAAGCCCCGCTATTTCGAACTTTTTTCCATTTCCCTTGGGACTTCGAAATAGCGGGGTTCGACTGTATTTGCCGAACTGATGTTTTTGCATTGCTTTTCCTTGCAGATAAATTTGGAAACAACTTGTTTGGCTGTTCATCTGGTTCTGGTTAATTCGAGCTGAAAATGAACTTTGGAATGCTGATTTTTGCGACTATCGTCGCAATGTACTTTTTCCACGTGAATGAAGGTAAAGTGGTAGAGTATAGTAGAGAACTAGGCGGTACTGGTCGATTTCCGGCCGCTAACCAACTGTGCTAATCCTTCTTCCTCCCTGCCTTGACTGCAGGTACAGTAAAACCCCGCAACTGGCCAAGAGCCTGGATTTTAAGAACTTGTTAGGCTAAAACTTGCCAGTTAAGCCCCCTCTATATAAGAACCTGTTTAGCCTAAAATTTGAACAGGT